ACTAGTCTTAAGGTGGGTGATGAGGTCTGCGACAGTGTGAAAGGAGGCTAGGTCGGGGAACAGGTAGGGGAGAGTGAGGCGGCCTAGCGTGGCAGAAGCGGGTGAGGAGTAGCGGGCCACTACAGCTGTGTAGAGGTCCTTAGCAGTCTTGCACTGGCCGAAGTGCTCGCGCTCATCTAGCGGCAGGGAGTTGCGAATAGCAAAGCGAGCGTGCGCGTCACGGGTCTGCCACTGTGAGCGCTCAGCTGGGGGGGCAGTAGCGAGTGGGGCGGTCGCATGGCCGAGAGCGTGGTCGTACAGTGTAATATCTTCCTTGGCAGTGAGCTGTAGGAAAAGGTGCAGGTCATCTAGCCAGGTTTCGAATTTGACCGGACGGCCCTCGGCGTCGAACGCTAGAACAGGAGGACTAGCCATAGCGACAGCGGCAGTAGTAGAAGCAGTAAAGTCACTGAAAAGGCGTGCGCAGGGTCAGCGGGGCCGGTGGGGCCTACGGACTGTAGTGGCGCACAAGCAGCAGTAGCAGGAAGTGTAGTAGTAGGATCTGCAGTGGTGCACAGGCGCAGCAGGCGGCAGCGAGAGCCGGCGCAGCAGGGGCGGGCTCAGCAGCGGTGATACGCGGGCGGCGGCGGGCTCAGCAGCAGCGGTGCGCGGGCGGCGGCGGGCGCAGCAGCGGCGGTGCGCGGGCGGCGGCGGGCTCAGCAGCAGCGGTGCGCGGGCGGCTGCGGGCTCAGCAGCGGCGGGCCGGGAGCAGGCAGCGCGCGGGCCGTGCGGGCCGTATGTGAGCTGCGCGGGCAGCGTGCGGGCCGGCGGCGGTCAGCGCAAGAGCCGCGCAGGCTCAGCGCGGGCTGCGCGGGCTGCTCGCGGGCTGCGTAAGCGGGTCGCGGGCGGCTCGCGGGGGTTCGCGGGCAGGTCGCGGGCTGCTCGCGGGCAGTTCGCGGGCTGTGCGCGGGCTGCGCGGGCTGGTCGCGGGCTGCGCAGGCGGTTCGCGGGCTGTGCGTGGGCGGTTCGCGGGCTGTGAGCGCGGCGCGCTGTGCGGTTCGCGGGCGGCGTGACGGGGCCGATCGGGGCGCTAAGGGGCGACGCGACGGGGGCCGTGAGAGGCCGCTAGGAAAAAAAATTCGAAGGGGCCGCAGGGCCGCTAGATCGTGCTAGATCGACGGGGCCAGCGGGGCCGGAAACAAGCGAAGGTAAGCAGGTAGGTAAGTCGGTGGGCCCTAAGAACAGTCCTAGCGAAGGACCTGCTCTGAAACCATGTCAGAAATAACTGAGCAGGAATGAATGAACTAGAACAGAGTTTGGTACAAGTAGGAAACCCTAACTTTGTGTACCCCCTAAGGTGTAACCCACTACAGCCTAGACAATATAAACATACAATGTTTGACAACCTGGGATTCACTAAATAATTTCGACGGGTGCGAAGACGGGTGAACGTCGGAGTACCAGGGTTAACGGCGGAAACGTCGGGGTTACGCGGCGGAAAATACTTTGGGACTGCTTCAACAACCATGATTTTCGGGGTTCCTTTCCTACGGTGGGAGACGGGTGAACGTCTGCTCGCTAGCTGTTTTCTGCGTTTTACGGTGTACTTCAAGGGGACAACCTGCAGACGACCAGATTTTACAGGGTGTGTTAATTTCCGACATCTTCGGGTGCAACGAGCAGCTCCGGGAAAGAGATTTAACGGAGTCAGCGGGATCGCTGACAGTATCCGTGCCGACGGCCGACTGCAGCGTCGCTTGATTAAGCGCGCGAAGGCACTCGTCGTCAAATTTGTAGCCGTACATTCGGAAGCTGTTCGGGGGTACCAGCCGCAACATGAGGGAGAATTTTCCAACAGGTGGGGGGGAAAAGCAGCAGCTATTTTCGTCCCTGCCCGGGAGTTTTCGGCGCAACGCGACAAGTGCCTCGGCGAGTCTGGACAAGACAGCCGGGGGCACCGACAACTGGAGCAGCTACAGCGAGGATTTGGCCACAGCAACGCGACAACAAGACAGCAGCAATTACGGGGTTGCAGATTCTGGCAACCGAGATTCAGCAGCAGCAGGGTGATTCGATACTGCCACGCGAAGGCTTTCGGGGTGGCAGTCACGGTCGATTCTGCAGTAGCAGTCGCGACTACGAGACAAGAAGAAAGTTTTCGTACAGTTTTAATTCAGGAATCGCAACCGAGTCCGGGAGCACAATGATCTACCCTCTAAACGGACTCCGCGGTTTACCCTGGGGAGTTTTAACATGTTAAGATAGCAATATTTCGCCACCAGCGACATTCTCGACAGTGCAGCTGCTAACATTTCGACAGGGATCAAAACACTTGATATTGTGATTTACCCTCGGCGTCAGGGTGTTTGGGGTTTTTACCCGAGCAGCTGTGCAGGTTCTGGTGGGCAGTCATTTATCTTCAAGGGGGGGAGAAGGAGTGCTCTCGCACTATACTTGTCAGTCTTTCTGACACTTCGTCTGACAGCTTCTTGTCAAACAATATGTTCAATATATACCCTGCGTGCTGTAGTTACTGTAGTTATTATTATTAAGAGTTGGTGGTGCACCTTCTTTGTTGCTTTGCTATATGTACCTTGTGTGCTATAGTGAAACCCCTTCTTCTTTCTCGTAACTCTCTTGGCACAACTCCCTCGACACCCCTTGGCCTAGGCTCCTAAGCCTAGGCCCTCCTAAACTCATACGTCCCTATCTTGACATGTTATCAGAGCCACCCGTTCCTCGGGTTTAAGTCTTCTTTCTTTACCCATGGTGAGCGCCTCGCTGGCCCGTCGCGCTACGCTCGCCTCGTCGCACCCTCGCTGGCGAAATTGCGCTTTCCTGCCCGTCCGTCGTGCCCCGTGCGCTCTGCCCGTCCATCGCGGCCCCCCGTGCGCCTTGCCCGTCCGTCGCGCCTGTCGCCCTGCCCGTCGATCCGCGCCAGCGCCAGCACCTGCGACTGCCACCAGCCACAGCGCGGAACGCAAGCGCCAGCGCGGACGCTGTCGACGAGCGCCAGCGTCTGTGCGGACGACAAGCGCGAGCGCCAGCGTCTGTGCGGACGACAAGCGCGAGCGCCAGCGCGGAGCGCAAGCGCCAGCGCCCGCGCGGACGCCAGCGACAAGCGCGAGCGCAAGCGCCAGCGCCCGCACGGACGCTAGTGACAAGCGCGAGCGCGAGCGCCTGCGCCACTGCCTGCGCCACCGCCAGCGCCAGCAGCAGCTACCGCCGCCCCGCCCCCCCCCGGCCCTCCCTTCCGCTGCTTCCGTCGTTGGGGGGGAGGAGGGGGAGATGTGTGGGTGGCGTGTGTGAGCTGCCTGCAGCCCGTCCCTCCCCTCTCTCTTACTGCAGGGATTGTCGCCGTAGAGAAGGGGGGGGGGGGGAGAGAAGTGCGGAAGGGTGAGGGGGTGGCGGGAGAAGACAGGTGCGGAAGGTGTGAGGTTGACGGGGTTGAGTGACGAGGGGGGTGAGGACTAAGGGGTTCTTAACGGGGGGGGATCGCTATGAGCTTTCGCGCTCAAGCCCGCCTAGCCCACCTCCTCTCCCTTCCCTCTCTCACCTCCCCTTTGTAAAAGGAGGTTCGTAAGCGGGTCCGCCGGTCCTGGCCCCCCACCTCCTCTCCTCTCCTCTCCTCTCCTCTCCTCTTCTCTCCTCTCCTCTCACCTTCCTCACTTCTCTGCCTTCTTCCACAGCGCTTGGTTTGCTCGTTCAGGGGGTGCTGGCTGCACCAGTTTCTACTGCACGCAGGCTAAGGGGGTGTGTCAAACAATATGTTCAATATATACCCTGCGTGCTGTAGTTACTGTAGTTATTATTATTAAGAGTTGGTGGTGCACCTTCTTTGTTGCTTTGCTATATGTACCTTGTATGCTATAGTGAAACCCCTTCTTCTTTCTCGTAACTCTCTTGGCACAACTCCCTCGACACCCCTTGGCCTAGGCTCCTAAGCCTAGGCCCTCCTAAACTCATACGTCCCCATCTTGACACTTCTGCACGACGGACGCTCGCGATAAGCTTCAACGACATCGACGGCTTCGGACTCCTCGTTTTCTGACATGCGTCAGAGCCGCCGTCAGACATCGCGTTCATCTCTGCCGTCCGAAACGTATCCGCTACATCAACGGCTTTCTTTCGTCGGAAGAATTCAAATCGACATTCGCTTTCAACCGCCCGATCGACATCGGCAGTAATTTAACGGCTGACATTCCAACTCTGATATCCGCCTGGTCAACGCGCTCAGCCACGCGTCAACGTGTCAACTCGAAAGTCAACACGCTTCCGCACCGTCAGATCGGTTTCCGATCGACCGAGATCTGCAGTTTTCACGCTACTGCAAGACTCGCCTACATATAAGGGCACCTTATTTAGAAGGTGGGAGAGTGTAATGAATGTGCAATTCATTACTGTAGAACTGTCCTTAGCGAGGACAGCCCCGAGCAGTTCGCGTCAGTGTGGCTCGGCCTACACTTTCGCACCGAACCAGCCCCGAGTCGCCCCGCACCAATTGCGACATTCCCGAGCCACGCACATCGAGGTCCTCGCCTAGCACGGTTTCGACCCTATGAATGCATGCTTCTTTAAACATTCTCGTCATGCTGTATTCGACATCCTTTTTATAAAGTCTTCCGCGCACTCTTCTTAGTACAACTCATAACAAAACCCTTCTGGGTGTTAAAGCCAGCAGCTAAAATAGTGACCCCCCCCCCTTCTAGTTGGGCCCACTAGAAAGCTGATGAAAGTTTCAGGAAGGTTTGGCGTTTTTTTTTACTGAAGGCAAGTCCCCGAGCGGATGCAAGTCCAATTTTGAGTTCACACCTATCCCTGATGCAACCGAGATAAATCAGTCGCAACATGCACAGATTTGTCGCAAGCTTGCTACGGCATTTCAACTCCTCCCGCCCATCCAATTTCGAGTCGAGCTCCATGCATGACTCTATTTCGCAAAGAAACCTGCCAAATTCACACCTGCCACCACGCACGCAGCACACACACAGATTTTGAGCTAACGAATAGCATAGCGTGATTCACTTCAGTAGGAAACTGAAGAATGACAAGGTGAGGCGAAAGGAGAGAGAGGGAGGGGACGACAGGAATTGTGACGCTACTAGAGGGAGAGAGGGCGATAGGGACAAATAAGGTGATGTTGGTGTTAGAAAGAAAGTGTGTCCAGGTTGTCCCGATGCAAGAGCGTGAGGGTGACGAACAAAGTGTCGGAGGAGTGAGGGAAGGCGACGGCGATGCCGTCGGAAGGATGAGAGGCGCGGGAGAGAGAGAAGAGCGATGGCGGTGACGGGGGCATTAGAGGCGCGGCTTGGGAAAGGAGGGGAGATCGTGAGGGAGACAGCGAGGGCGACAGGACTGGGGAGACAACGACGCAAGGGGAGGAAAAAACCGATATCGACGGGAGAGGGGAAGAAAAAACCGAGATCGACGGGAGAGGGGGGGGGGGGAAGCGTGATCGACGGGAGAGGGGGGGGGGAAAGCGAGATCGACGGGAGAGGGGGGGAGAAAGCGAGATCGACGGGAGAGGGGGGGAGAAAGCGAGATCGCCGGGAGAGGGGTGGGAAAAGCGAGATCAACGGGAGAGGGGGGGGGGAAAAGCGAGATCGACGGGAGAGGGGGGGGGGAAAGCGAGCTCGACGGGAGAGGGGGGGGAAAAGCGAGATCGACGGGAGAGAGGGGGAGAAAGCGAGATCGACGGGAGAGGGAGGGAGAAAGCGAGATCGACGGGAAACGGGACGAGAAAGCGAGCTCGACGGGAGAGCGGGGGAGGAGGGGGTATAGCGCGCGCGAGGGGGAGGAGGATGGGAGATAGCGAGGGCGAAGGGGAGAGGAGGGATGGCGAGGGTGCCGGGGCGGGAGGGGAGATAGTGAGTGCGACGGGGAGGGAGGGGAGCTAGCGAGCGCCACGGGGAAGGGGGGGAGATAGCGAGGGCGACGAGGAAGGGGGGACAGATTGTCCGCGACGAGAGAAATAGCATGCCGTTACAAGCCACGTTTCACAACATTACGCACTAGAGCTACTTCACGAACTCGAAATAATAAGCCGCCAATTTCAGGACTTGTGACACAAACGACTACGATATCATCAACCATGCTTCCATGATCTTCCACTCTCAACAATGGACCAGAAATAGGGTTGGAAGGGCGGTGTTATAGGTTGCAAGAAGGGATTGGAAGCAGATCGCGAAGGCGGTCTAAACGGAGGGCGACGGGAACCGGGAGGGCGACAGGAGACGGGAAGGCGACGGGAGGAAACGGAGGGCGAGCGCGAGGGGAAGTTTCGCTTGATGTCGATGGCGAGGGAAACGTTTCGACGGTCAGCTGCGGCGACACGATCTGCTGGATTGGTTAGTCGTGAATGGCTGGCAGGCGAGACCTCCGACAGAGTCGCGATATGGCATAGAATATGAGCGGTTGACAGGCTAATACTTCTGCCACGTATTACTACATTAGGCACCGAGCTAAGTCGACACATGACACAATCAAACTAAGACTAAAATTGGCGTGCCTAGGACGCAAGCGGCCACGATTTTAGCTATTCTAAGGAAAGAAAGTAGCGGCCAAGGGATTAGAAAAGCGAGTTGTGAACCCAGTTCAGCTTGAAGTTGAAGTTGGGCCAAGCGACCGAAACGATCGCTTTGCAACCGTCGTGAGGGTGCAGCACGCAGACGTGCGACGGTTGAAATGAGCGCCAAAATTAATTTGGCGGGAGCCAACGAAATTCTCATTTTGGCGATAGCCAATCAGAACATTTCAATCTGAACATTTCAGTTGTTTGAATCAGTGTTGTTTCGGCCCGACCCCTTGAGCACTTCGCAGGACTCTTTCAAACTGGGACGGGGGTCACTATTTTGCCTGCTGGCTTTAACCACACCTGGCTGTCGGTCGTAACCCGCCTCCCCATTTGTTTACACTCCTCGCTGGGTCAACGAGGTTGTTCTATCCACTCCCAGATGAGCCCCTGTGTAACCCCCCCTTGGGGGCCTGGCAGAACACGCCGCAGGGGGGATTTGATCCCGGGACCTCATCTTTCGGAAGTGAACCAGCTAACTAGCTGGGCCACTTCAGGATAGCCATCTGGTTGGTGGGGGTCATGCTTTTCTGCACTGACCTGCTGTGCGGGATTGACCTTCTCTAGTTGGTAATTTCGAGAATGTTCGTCTCTGGCCGGCCAAGTATTCCGTTCCCGACTCCAGAATAGTGTGCCTTTACTTAGTTCACGTTGAGGAACTAAATAGCGGGTGCATGGTCTCAAGTAATATTTACTGATTTTGGCGGAGCCACTTGCCTTGAATCCGTTCCCAATGGTCAGTATGGATACAGCGTACGCTGTTGATTTGAAAACCAGCAATGATGAATCCATTTTTACAGTTGCATCGAGTGTTTTTTTCCATAAGTAACCATGGGAATAATAGCAAAGCGGTCTATATCGCGAAATCTCCTCCCATCCACCCCGTGCGTTCCACGTGCTCAGGCGAAGGCGTCGCGGGTGCTGCTCTGCCTGGTCGCAGCCTCCGTTCTCCTCGCACTGCTGCCCTGTTCGGTGCACTCCGCCGACTCCGCCAACGTCTCTGCGGAAGAAGCGGCGGCAGCAGCGGCGGCGGAATCTGCGAGGGCGACAGCGGAGGCGGTGGCGAAAGCGGCGGAGAGCGCGGCCGCCAAGGACGAGGCCGCGGAGAAGGCCGCGGAGGAGGCGGCGACGGCGCGCGAGGGGGATAAGGGCGCGGAGGAGGAGGCGCAAAGCCCGATCCCTCCGGCAATAGCGCAGGCGGAGAAGGCGGCGTCCGACATTGTACCCGACGGTGGGGTTTGCGCTCTGTGTCGCTCAGGTTCAGGAAGCGTGCGCGCGGGAAGTGCGGGCAGTGCGTGCAGTAAACGAGTAAACTCCCTCGGGACTGCATCCACGCAACTTCTCACTGCCAGACCCCCTGCATGTTGTGCATCTTGCTGCCTCACTCACACCATGAGGTCACTTCAACTCTCCGCCTTGACTCGCGCTGTTCCCCCCTCCTGCCCCTCCTCGCCCCTCAATACGCTGCTGCTCCCTCCGCGACAGGTGCGTGCAAGAAGGAGATAGCGGATTTCTGCGGCGATTTGACGGTGGGCAATCGGACAGTGGAGAGATGCCTGACGGGGCAGGTGCAGCTGCTCAAATCCAAGGGCGGTCAAGGTGCGCCGCGACCGTGGGACAGGGGGAGGTGGGGAGAATTGAGGGGCGAGAAGGGAGGGGAGAGGGGGGAAGAGGGGGAGGAGCGCGGGTGCGGTGTCGTGAGGGGGTAGTGAGGGGAGCGGAAGAGAAGGCGAGGCGAGGAGGCGTGTGGATGGCCGTTTGAGCCGCGGTGCTGCAGTCTGTTCTGTTGCTGTCTCTGCGCCGCCATGCGTGTGCGCCCTTGCCCTCGGCGTGCTTGCTGACAGCCCCCCAACGCTGTGTGTCATATGGTGTGTGCGTATGCGTGGGCGGGTGGGTGGGTGGGTGGGTGGGTGGGTGCATGCGTGCGTGCGTCCACGTGTGCAGGGACGGGCAGCATATCGCCCGGGTGTCTGCAGGAGGTATACCAGTTCAAGATAGAGCTGTACAAGAACATCTCCCTCAACAACGACATGGGTCAGTTGCTCTCACACTCACCGCCTCATCATGCCACCCGCCTCCACACACCGCACCCCACCACACACCGCACCCCACCACACACCGCACCCCACCACACACCGCACCCCACCACACTCCACATGCCACGTTGGACTGTTTTCCACCACGCTGTCCCTCACGTCTCTCACTGCCATCGTTTCTCTCCCCCTTAGTTGCGGAAGACGCGTCTAGCGTCTTAGACGCGTCTGTCTAGACGCAGCGTCGAAGACGCTAGACGCTAGACAGTAGAGATTAGATGCAGTATTAGACGGAAACCCGGACAGGCCTAAAAAAATGTTCGGGCAGACCAAAAAAAAGTTCTATGGGGCATGGGGAGGGTGGGGGACATGCACCTATGTCACAATGAGGAGAATTTTTCCTCGTACCATAAAATTTTCCCCATTCTAAGACCTTTTCACATCTCATCATATATGATTGGGGGGGATTCAAATTTGCTTGGGGGGCTGGTTTTTATGGTCGAAATGGGTGGGAAGGGGTTCTAATGGCATGAAATTGAATTTCGCGTTGAAATGACGAATTTCAATTTCGCGCGCGCGATTTTTTTTTCGGGCTGCTCGATTTTTTTTCGCCCAAGCGTCTTGCGTCTAAAAGTGTGTCTTGCGTCTAGCGTCTTCCGCAACCCCATCAGGTTCGTCCCCATCAGGTTCGTCCCCATCAGGTTCGTCCCCATCAGGTTCGTCCCCATCAGGTTCGTCCCCATCAGGTTCGTCCCCATCAGGTTCGTCCCCATCAGGTTCGTCCCCGTCAGGTTCGTCCCCGTCAGGTTCGTCCCCGTCAGGTTCGTCCCCGTCAGGTTCGTCCCCGTCAGGTTCGTCCCCGTCAGGTTCGTCCCCGTCAGGTTCGTCCCCGTCAGGTTCGTCCCCGTCAGGTTCGTCCCCGTCAGGTTCGTCCCCGTCAGGTTCGTCCCCGTCAGGTTCGTCCCCGTCAGGTTCGTCCCCGATCAGGTTCGTCCCCGTCAGGTTCGCTCCCGTCAGGTTCGTCCCCGTCAGGTTCGTCCCCGTCAGGTTCGTCCCCGTCAGGTTCGTCCCCGTCAGGTTCGTCCCCGTCAGGTTCGCTCCCGTCAGGTTCGTCCCCGTCAGGTTCGTCCCCGTCAGGTTCGTCCCCGTCAGGTTCGTCCCCGTCAGGTTCGTCCCCGTCAGGTTCGTCCCCGCCAGGTTCGTCCCCGTCAGGTTCGTCCCCGTCAGGTTCGTCCCCGTCAGGTTCGTCCCCGTCAGGTTCGTCCCCGTCAGGTTCGTCCCCGTCAGGTTCGTCCCCGTCAGGTTCGTCCCCGTCAGGTTCGTCCCCGTCAGGTTCGTCCCCGTCAGGTTCGTCCCCGTCAGGTTCCCCCCCGTCAGGTTCCCCCCCATCAGGTTCCCCCCCATCAGGTTCCCCTCCATCAGGTTCCCCATCAGGTTTCCCATCAGGTTGCGGAAGACGCGTCTAGCGTCTGTCTAGACGCGGCGTCTAAGACGCTAGACAGTATAGATTAGACGCAGTATTTGACGGAACCCCGTGCAGGCCTAAAAAAAAGTTCGGGCAGACCAAAAAAAGTTCTGTGGGGCATGGGGAGGGTTGGGAAATGCACCTATGTCACAATGAGGTGAATTTTTCCCCATACCGTGAAATTTTCCCCATTCTAAGACTTCACAAAACATTTCACATCTCATCATATATGATTGGGGGGGATTCAAATTTGCCTGGGGGGCTGGCTTATATGGTTCAAACGGGTGGGAAGGGTTTCTAATGGCGTGAAATTAATTTCGCGTCGAAATGGCGAATTTCAATTTCGCGCGCGTGATTTTTTTTCCGGGCTGCCCGAAAATTTCCGCCCAAGCGTCTTGCGTCTAAAAGTGTGTCTTGCGTCTTGCGTCTTCCGCAATTCAGCTCTCCCCCTGTCCTCTCGCTGCCCTCGTGCATGGCAGCGGAGGCGTGCAGGGGCGACATACAGCAGTACTGCAATGACGGCTTCCTCTACCCCGAACCCGGCAACGTCCTCGCTTGCCTCAGGTGCCAAATGCTTGCCTTAGGTGCCGCCTTGCATGCCTCAGGTGCTTGCATGCCTCAGGTGCTTGCATGCCTCAGGTGCTTGCATGCCTCAGGTGCTTGCATGCCTCAGGTGCTTGCATTCCTCAGGTGCTTGCATGCCTCAGGTGCTTGCATGCCTCAGGTGCTTGCATGCGTACCTCAGGTATCGTGCTGGTGTGCATCAGGTGCGAGGGGCCAGAGCCCAAGTGCCATTCCAGGTGCCATTCCAGGTGCGCCATGCCATATTCACGTATGCCACATAATCCCATCGCCTCTTGCCCTGCTCGTCCATCTGCTGCCTCCCCACACCACCCTCCCTCATCTGCCCATCCCCGCTTCCTTTACTCCCCTTATCCACCCTGCACCTCCCTCCCTCACACTTATCGAGCAGGGAGACGAGGGGCGCGGGCAAGCTGTCGGACGCGTGTGGGGAGGCGGTGTTGGAGGCGGAGGAGGATGCGGCGGGGGACTTCCGCATGGACCCGCAGCTGCACGCCCTCTGCTCCAACGACGCTGCTCGCCTCTGCAAGGACGTGCCCCCGGGCGATGGGCTCGTGCAGGACTGCCTCGTGCGTTTATTTGGGGGCCAGGGCTGGGGGGTTGCGAATAGAGGGAGTGACTCGTGCAAGCGTTGGGGAGTTGGGACTAGAGGGGGCACGACGAGACACGGGAGTCCCGTGTCTCATTCGTTTCTGTACCTCAAAGTCCTGCACTGCACCTGCCCCTACAGCCTCCTCCTACCGTCTCCTCCTCCCTCCCCCTTTAATTCATTTTCTCCCAACACGCTGTGGTTCACAGAGGCAGCACCGCAGCAGTGTGAACTGGGACTGTCAGGCGGAGCTGTTCCGGCAGGAGGTGGAGAACGCCGATGACATCCGCCTCAACGTGCGCCTCTTCAAAGGTGAGAGCCTTAACGTGCGCCTCTTCAAAGGTGAGACAGCCTCAACGTGCGCCTCTTCAAAGGTGAGACAGCCTCAACGTGCGCCTCTTCAAAGGTGAGACAGCCTCAACGTGCGCCTCTTCAAAGGTGAGACAGCCTCAACGTGCGCCTCTTCAAAGGTGAGACAGCCTCAACGTGCGCCTCTTCAAAGGTGAGACAGCCTCAACGTGCGCCTCTTCAAAGGTGAGACAGCCTCAACGTGCGCCTCTTCAAAGGTGAGACAGCCTCAACGTGCGCCTCTTCAAAGGTGAGACAGCCTCAACGTGCGCCTCTTCAAAGGTGAGACAGCCTCAACGTGCGCCTCTTCAAAGGTGTCACTGCCCACCATCACCCCTCCTTCCCACTCGAGTCTTTGAGAGCTGCCATGCCCTCCCTGCTCCCTCCCCTCCCAACCTGCTCTATCCCTTCTCCCCTCCCCCTCCCGCACCCCCAATCTCCCCATGTGTGTAATGCGGGCAGCGTGTCTGGAGGACAAGAGGCGGTTCTGTGCGGACGTGGTGCCGGGGGATGCACGCGTGAAGGACTGCCTTGAGACGCACCGCGATGACTCCGACTTCTCCAAACCCTGGTGCGCTCCTCTGGGGGCTGCCGCTGTCAGCTGCCAGTGTCGGCTGCCGCTGTCGGCTGCCAGTGTGGGTGCTGTGCGTCTGGGCTGGATGCATGTTGTGCTCCATGCAGGGAAGCATAGGCAGCAGCTGCGCTCTCTCCCTTGTTTCTGTGCACGTGCCATCTTCCTTTGCCGTGCATCTCTCATGATGAATGCATGTGTCCCATATGTGACTGCATGCATGCGCCCATGCATGGGTACGACTCTCGTCTCTGTGCGTGTGCGGCAAGGCAGCAAGGAGGAGGTGGAGAGGATGATGGAGCGCCGTGCCTCTGACTTCCGCCTTGACCCCGGCCTGCGCAAGTACTGCCACCGCGACATCGTCGAGGTGAGACAAGCCGTGGCACAGCAATAGGAGAGTGGCAGGTGTGCACTGGGATGGTCCTCTCAGCTCTCTCAGCTGCTCCCGCCTCTCCTTCAGTTGTGCACTTCCCTTCGCTCTTCCTCCTTGTGCCTTGCGCTTCTCCACCCCCTCCCACTCGCTCCCACCTGTCCCCTTCCAACCCCTCACCAGACGTGCTACCCGGATGCGGACGACATAAGCGACGTGGCGTCGTGGGACAGCCGCGTGATAGAGTGCTTGCAGGACTACCGGCGGGAGCTCAAGGACCCGCGCTGCCGCCAGCAGGTGCACCTGCTCACCCAGAGGGCTGCTGAGGACATGCGCTTCGACCACCCGCTGCAGCAGGCGTGCCAGGGTGAGCGGTGCACACAGGCCTGCCAGGGCGAGCGGTGCACAGGGTTGGGTGGGGAAGTGTGGGGAGGGTGGGGGGGCGTTGAGGGTCTCGGGTAGCGTTGTGCCCATGCCGTGACGGCATGCGCTGCGGCAGGGGCGCCAAGGTGAGGGGCAGGACTGGGAAAGGGGAAGCGGGGTGGGGTGGGATGAGAGGTGTATAGAGCGGATAGGAGGGGTGCAGGGTTGGCTTGGGTGGGGTTGCGCGCCTGAGTGACGCCCCACCCTTGTTGCAGGCTGTGAGAGACGGTGAGGACCCCCCCTCCACGCATCATCACTTCCACCCACCTCCTCTCCTTCAACCCCCCTCTGCCCCTCCTTCGCCCCCACCCACCCCACCCTTTCACTCCATGCACATGCACATGCACATGCACGGTGCGCAGAGGACCGAGAGGTGGTGTGTGCGGGGGTGCCGGACGGGCATGCGCGGGTGTTCATGTGCCTGCAGGAGAACCGCCAGAAGCTCAAACCCGTCTGCCGCACCGCACTCTTTGAACAGGTCTGCTGCCCTCCCTTGAGGGCGGGAACTGAGGAAGGGAACTGAGGGAGGAAGGAACTGAGGGAGGAACTGAGGGAGGAACTGAGGGAGGAACTGAGGGAGGAACTGAGGGAGGAACTGAGGGAGGAACTGAGGGAGGAACTGAGGGAGGAACTGAGGGAGGAACTGAGGGAGGAACTGAGGGAGGGACTGAGGGAGGAACTGAGGGAGGAACTGAGGGAGGAAGGAACTGAGGGAGGAACTGAGGGAGGAACTGAGGGAGGAACTGAGGGAGGAACTGAGGGAGGAACTGAGGGAGGAACTGAGGGAGGATGGTTGTGAGGGAGGAAGGAACTGAGGGAGGAACTGAGGGAGGAACTGAGGGAGGAACTGAGGGAGGAAGGAACTGAGGGAGGAACTGAGGGAGGAACTGAGGGAGGAACTGAGGGAGGAACTGAGGGAGGAACTGAGGGAGGAACTGAGGGAGGAACTGAGGGACGCAACTGAGGGAGGAACTGAGGGAGGAACTGAGGGAGGAACTGAAGGACGGAACTGAGGGAGGAACTGAGGGAGGAACTGAGGGAGGAACTGAGGGAGGAACTGAGGGAGGAACTGAGGGAGGAACTGAGGGAGGAACTGAGGGAGGAACTGAGGGAGGAACTGAGGGAGGAACTGAGGGAGGAACTGAGGGAGGAACTGAGGGAGGAACTGAGGGAGGAACTGAGGGAGGAACTGAGGGAGGAACTGAGGGAGGAACTGAGGGAGGAACTGAGGGAGGAACTGAGGGAGGAACTGAGGGAGGAACTGAGGGAGGAACTGAGGGAGGAACTGAGGGACCGCTTCACTCATTCGACATCAAATGCTGCTAGCGTGAACCAAATTCGTTTGTTCAGCATTTTAAGGTGAGGCATGTGGAGTTACATAACACAACTTGCTACCCCTTTCCCACCCGTCGTCCCCTTGTTGGAGGAGTGCAGGAGATCCGGTACGCGGAGGACATAGACTTCAAGTTCCCCATGCGCCAGGCGTGCCAGGACGAACTGCAGCGCCTCTGCAAGGACGAGAAAGGTATGCCGTGGAGAGCGCATGGGTCGGGCAGGACGGGAAGGCTTAGGGAAGAGACAGGGGTGAATCGTGGACAGGGGGGGTTTCGTGTGTGAGGGAGGCGGTGAGGGCTGAAGTGCAAGGATGACAGAGCGAGGAAGCAGGGGATGGGGTGAGAAGGCAGTGCTTGCATGACTCTGCAGACTGCTGATGTGCTGTTCCTGCATGGTTGACAGCTGCTCCTGCTGCTGTGTGGCCTGCTCACCTCTCCCCATTTCCCCGTGTCTGTGTCGCCATGTTGGTGGGGACAGGTGGTGGCGACACGATAGAGTGTCTGCAGCAGCACGTGGAAGATGAGGACATGGGGCAGCAGTGCAAGGCGGAGGTCAAGAAGGATGAGGAGCGCAGCGCTCACGGTCAGTGCATGTGCATGGATGTCATGCACGTGGCGCACATGCTGCACACACATGGCACACACGCATAGCACACATGCCACCGCGTGCACCTGCCACCAACCCATCACGTAGCCAACTCTCACCACCACGAATCCTGCACACCGCATCTCTACGCCCCCAACACCTCCCTTCCCCTCCCCCTCCATGACCAGACTTCCGCCTGAACTACAAGTTGAACCGTGCGTGTTTCAGCGACGTGCAGCACCTGTGCATGCACGCGTGCGAGCCCAAAAACGACTCCTTCACCGCCGCTGCTGCCCCCTCCGGCGACCAGTGCGGTGGGCGCGTGCTACAGTGCCTCGCGGGCAACGCGTCCCTCATCGCCAGCCCCGAGTGCAAGGAGGAGGTGGCGTACTTTGAGCGGCGAGAGGTGGGCGATGTGATGCTCGATGTGCCGTTGCAGCGCGCCTGTGTGGACGACATCGGAGCGCTGTGCGGGCTGCAGCGCGACCACAGCAAGGTGCTCTCGTGCCTGCGCCAGCACCGCGCACAGCTCAAGCCGGAGTGTCGCGACGAGGAGCTGCGGTTCTCCGCAATGGAGGTGAGGGCGGTGGGGTGATTGAATGGGTGAGTGGGTGGGCGAAGGGAGGGGGAATGGGTGGGGAGGAAAGAGGGGTTTTGACATTGGAGGGTGATGTGAGGGAAAGGGGGGGATCATGCGGGGCATGGCATTGGGATGTGAAGCTGCTGGGATGCCTGCTATGCTGGAAGTGCTCTTGAGAACTGCAATCCTGCTGCGGTGCCATGCTGAGCCGTGCCGAAGAAGCATCACACTCTCTTTCGGGTTCTTACTCTCTGGCCTCGTCTCTCGTCCCTCCCTCGTCCCTCCCTCGTCCCTCCCTCGTCCCGTGTCCCTTGGCCCTCGCCACTGACACCTTGCCCCGGCACATCCCCCCTCAGGCGTCGGACATCCGCCTGACGCCCTCGCTGATGAACGCGTGTGGCTTGGAGCTGCATGCCTTGTGCCGCGGCGTGCCGCCCACCGAGGGCAACGCCTTCCGCTGCCTGCAGACCAGCCTGGCCCAGGTGAGGCGGTGGGACGGCAGCGGGTGAGTGAGGCAGCAGTGGGTGATGCTGTGCAGTACTTGCGAGTACATATGCAATGGAGCCACCCTCTTGTGCTCTACGCCCCCGGCTCTCTGCCACCACTGCTTCTACCACCCACCACCGCTGCTCTTGCTGCGGCAACTTCAAATTCCCATCCTCTCTACCTGTTCATTTCTCTGCCACTTCCCCTTGCCGCTGCTACCACTTCCAGGAGAGCATGGGGGTGGCGTGTCGTTCTGAGGTGGCGCTGCAGACGGTGCGCGAGTCGCAGTTCTACCTCGCTGACGTGGCGCTGGCGCTGCAGTGCCAGGTGGACATCGCCAAGACATGCAGTGCTGCAGCCAACAGCACGGCGGATGGCGATGGGGAGGTGATAGCGTGCCTGGTGCAGCACTATGATGGGCTCTCGGGGAAATGCCAGACCGAGGTGCGCTGGGGGGGGTGGGAGTGAGAGGTGCAGTGGGCTTAGGAGGGAAGAAGTGAGATGTAACGGGTAAACGAGGGAGGGATAGGGGTTTTATTTTTGTGTGTACAGATGTTCATTGCAGCTGCTCACCTTTCCGCCTCACCTCCATCTCCCTTGTCCATTGCATTCTCTGCGGGTGCATGAGGTGTGTTGATGCAGGTGGCATACCTGGTGCGCATGGCGCTGTGGGTGTACCACCCCGCCAACAACCTCACCATGCCGTGCGCTGCTGACATCGCCGCCCTCTGCCCCAACGCCACCTCCTCCCCCACCATCTCCACTGCCGTCTCGCATGCGGTGCAGGGGGTGGTGGTGGCGGCGGTGGGGCAGTGCCTGGTGGACCAGCCACTGGCGAAGCTGAGCAACGAGTCGTGCCGCCAGCTGGTGGCCGTGGTGGCCGTGGCGGGCGCACATGTGGGCGGGGTCGTGGACGAGGCCCGCCTGGAAGCCACTCTTGCTGAGATTGCCCAGGTGATGACGCTGGTTCAGGTGACGCGGGTGCAGGTTTGACAGGGAATGCGATCATTCACCAGTGCTGCAAGCGAGTTGCGAGCCATCGTCTCTCAGTGTTTGCATCATTCATGCTCCCTGCACATCCCTTCTGCGTCACTGCCCCACCTGGCCTCTGCTCCTCACCTTTGTTCGTTCCTCCCTTCTCCCTACCCTCACTTGCATTTCTCCTGCACTGCCCTCCGCTTGGCCCTCTCTGAACGTGCAGCTGGGAGCTTTGGAGCAGCAGCAGCAGCAGCAGGGGGAGGCGGGGGGTATGGTGCTGACGGGGTGGACGGCGCTGCTGGCAGTGCTGGCGCTCTCCATGCTGCTCATTGGTGCAGGCCTCTACGCCCACCACCGCTTCTTCAGCCCCACACGCGACTACACTCTCGTTGTGCAGGAGGGAGGTGTCAAGGAGGGGGACGTGTGAAGTACCGTATGCTATTTTGTGTACCTGTTTTTTTCAGTGAAGCTCCTTTCAGTTCAGTGAAGCTCACGCAATTGCAGCCAGCTGTCAGCTTCAAGTTCCGCTTGTGGAACTTTTGTTACTACCTTTTCCGTGGCTGAGTCGTCTACAGTGCAGTGCTATCCCTGTGCGTGGTCGAAGTATGACACCAATCCATAGTACGGTAATACAAATGTCGATATAATCAAACCAGTAACACTAGTTATAGGCAGCACTCAACACCAAATAACTGCCTGATACTACACATATTCAATGCAAGGCTGTACGGCTTTCAGGTACCAAACAGCGCCTGAGAAGCGAAGCAGAGCTTCACAATTGTGGAAAGCAGGTGGGCCAGCAAAACAGTTCAGAGATGCAAGCAAGGCAGTCAGGGAATGAGGGGTGGCCTCTGGCTGTGTCATGGGCAAGTAAAAGGCAGAGAGGCAAAGCTCCCTGACCCAAATGGATGACGACGGTTCAGATCATGGGGGTGACAGCGCCGGGGGCAGGTGCGCAGAGCCCGTGGGGCCCATGGAGAGCGGTCACTCGTCGTAGGTGCGGCACTCGTCCGTGTCGGGGTTCTCCTCGCAGTACTCGATGAGTGGATCCTCGTAGTCCGCTGGGCCGTACACCACCACCGTGCGCGACGGCGCATACACCTGGAACGAGTGCTGCCGGTTGTCGTGCCACCCCTCCTGCACGCACAGCCAGTCACAGCCACACACAGGCACATAGACAAGGTGTGAGGGGCGAGGAAGGCATACGTGCAGAGAGGGGCGTGGCAGAAGGCCGAGAACAAATATGCGAGAAACAAACGGAACACAGGGTGGTTGGAGAGCGGGCAATGGGAGCAGAGCAGCGGTTGAAGGGTGCAGAGGTATGGAAACATTTGGAGGGCGAAAGGGAGGAGGCAAGCAGGCAGGCAGGCAGGCAGGCAGGCAGGCAGGCAGGCAGGCAGGCAGTGTGCACACATTGGAGAAGAAGGAAGCGTTGTGGTCGATGCGGTTGTAGCCGCCAAAGCGCCCCTCATCCGAGTCCAACACCACCTGGTGGCACGCGCACGGGAACAGGCAGGTGCATATGGCAGGCAGAGGGGTGGCGTGGCAGGCACAAGGGGGCAGTTTGGACGGAGGCAGGAGGGGAGGATAGCAGGCAGCAGTGGGGCAAAGGTACAATTCTCAAGTTTGAACGAGGCAGCATGGCAGCAGGAGGCGGAAAAAAATGGCAGACTCGTGCAGGCAGCAGTGAGGGTGGGTGGATGGGGAGGATGAGTGGTGAGGGCGAGGTGGTCACTGACCTTGTACTTGCCGGGTTTGTTGCAGCCGATGCGGTAGTCCGTGTAGGAGTTGTTCCAGTGCAGGTTGAACACAAACACCAGGTCCCCGCGCTCAAACACGATCATTTTGTCCCCCTCGTCCTTGCGCGACACGTACTGGTGGTCCGATGAGATGAACTGGCCATTCAAACGGGAGGGGGAAGGTGGGGCAGGGACCAGGTTAGATGGACTGCCAGAGCGGGAAAGGGGCAACTTCTGATTGGGTTTGGGTCGCGAATGAGAAGTGCGGAACGCGGGGAAGCAGGGGCGAGGTGGAATGAGAGCAAAGCTGCTGTGCGGGGCCGACGGGGAAGGAATGACGAAGGGAAGCGTGCTATGCCTTGCTGGCACCTCCTCTTGCATTGCACTGCCAACACATTCCCTTGAAGCGTACGACTTTCCCACCCTGCAGGGCGTGCCCATTGCGCCTTGTGCTTCTCCTATCCCGCACCTCCTCTCACCTCCCCCCTCCCCACCCAACACATTTCCCTCCCACCGCACGTTGAGCATGAACCACCTCCCACAACCCGTGTGCACCTTGTACTTCTCTTCGAGCTGCTGCATGGCCTGGTCGAAGTCGTTGAGGCCCTTGTAGCGCAGGTACGTGGCGTCCGCCAGGTCAAAGCGCCGCCGGCACAGGTGGTAGCTGCCGCCGTTGCCGGGAATGAACTTGCCCGCCGGGGTCGTGAAGTCCCACCGCGGGAAGTCAATCCACTCTGCACCGCCACAGCCACACCATGCCATGCCATGCCATGTCAATTCCCCATACGCACGCACATACACAAGCCATACCACAAAAAGCAAGGGGGAGAAGCAGTGAGGGAGGTATACTACCCCCAACACATTCCTTTCGATTGTCACATCAATTTGCGCAGCGGCTCTCTGCACTCCCAGCGACTGCAATCCTTGGAGGACACATACTCCCCTCCTACACTCTCTGTGTGGGCGGCAGCACAAGCGTACCGGGGTGGCCGAACTCGTTGCCCATGAAGTTGAGGTAGCCCTCGCCGCCCAGCGCCATGGTGAGCAGGCGAATCATCTTGTGCAGCGCAATGCCGCGGTCCACGCGCGGGGTGGAGGGGCCATCGAGCGCCATGAAGTCGTACATGTCCTTGTCCATCATCTTGTGCAGCGCAATGCCGCGGTCCACGCGCGGGGTGGAGGGGCCATCGAGCGCCATGAAGTCGTACATGTCCTTGTCCATGAGCCAGAACGCAATGGTCTTGTCGCCCACCAGCGCCTGGTCGTGGCTCTCCGCGTACGCGATTGACTTCTCCATCCACCGCCGGTTGGTCAGCGTGTGCACTATGTCCCCCATCTGCCACTGCTCGTCTGATTGCCTGCCAGGGGGACAACCGCAACAGTAGTGGTGGCAGCAGGGGGGGGGCGTTTAAGGAGAAGGCAGAGTGAGGAGGGTCATGTGGCAAGGGCCGTGCGAAACGAGGCGTGTTGATTGGCCCATGGGAGCAGCGAGAGCAGGGCTCACTCGGAGAGCAGCTCGATCCACTTGTCAGCGATGGCCATCTGCAGGCGGTAGTCAAAGCCCACTCCGCCCCATGACACGGGCAGGCACAGCGTGGGCATGCCGCTGACGTCCTCAGCGATGGTGACGGCGTCGGGGTAGAGCGCGTGCACCATGTCGTTGGCCACCATCAGGTACGCCATCGCCTCCACATCCGTCGCAAACCCAAAGTACTCCTCGTAGTTGCCCGTGAACGCCATCTGTGAGGGGGAATGAGGGGGGCATATGAGAACGTGAGTGCGTGACAACATAGTTGATGGAGGTGCAGAGTATGCATGGTGAATGGTGCATGGTGAATGGTGCATGGTGAATGGTGCATGGTGAATGGTGCATGGTGAATGGTGCATGGTGAATGGTGCATGGTGAATGGTGCATGGTGAATGGTGCATGGTGAATGGTGCATGGTGAATGGTGCATGGTGAATGGTGCATGGTGAATGGTGCATGGTGAATGGTGCATGGTGAATGGTGCATGGTGAATGGTGCATGGTGAATGGTGCATGGTGAATGGTGCATGGTGAATGGTGCATGGTGAATGGTGCATGGTGAATGGTGCATGGTGAATGGTGCATGGTGAATGGTGCATGGTGAATGGTGCATGGTGAATGGTGCATGGTGAATGGTGCATGGTGAATGGTGCATGGTGAATGGTGCATGGTGAATGGTGCATGGTGAATGGTGCATGGTGAATGGTGCATGGTGAATGGTGCATGGTGAATGGTGCATGGTGAATGGTGCATGGTGAATGGTGCATGGTGAATGGTGCATAGCGCATGGTGCATGGCACATGGAGCGCGGAGCACGCACCTGCAGCCCATGGTGCGTGTACATCATGGAGGTGACGCCATCGAAGCGGAAGCCGTCGAACTTGTACTCCTCGAGCCACCAGCGCAGGTTGGAGAGCAGGAAGCGGGTGACCTCCCAGTGGCCGTAGTTGAAGAGGCGCGAGTCCCACATCCAGTGGTACCCGCGCTCGCCCGAGTGGAAGTACTGCCCGTCCGTGCCGTCAAACATGTTCAGCCCGTCCAACACGTTGTTCGACGCGTGGCTGGCCGAGCATGCATGCCGGTCATGGTGGTGGAGGGGGAAAGGGAAGGGGGAAAGGGGGAAGGGGGAGGGAGGGGGAAGGGGAGGGGGAAAGGGGGAGGGGGAAAGGGGGAGGGGGAAGAGGGGAGGGGGAAGAGGGGAGGGGGAAAAGCGGAGAGGGAAGAGTGAGTGAGAGGACGGAGAAGGTGTGAGTACAGACCAGCAGCGAATCCGTTCATTCGTGTCCGTTCAGCCTGGCTGCTTCACGTACTAAGGGAGGGGGGCGCAGTGGAAGCGCAGGCAGTGCTGGAGCTGTGTCAAGGTGGGGGTGGCTGTGCACCGCCAGGCTACACACAGTAGCGCGTGCGTGCACAGGCATGCCTCCCCTAACCCCCCCCAACCCCTCTCTCACTGCATGGTAACCGTCCCATAACCTGCTTGCGCACACAGCAGACACCCACATCCGGCCCACTTGTATGCGCAGTGCGCCAACCCAGTTAGCCCGCCTGTGGGTGCAGTTCCCAACCCACCTGTGCACGCAGTCCATGAGCACCATGATGCCCATGCCGTGCGCCGTGTCAATGAGGCTCTTCAGCTCGTCCGGCGTGCCGCACCGGCTGCTCACCGCGAAGAAGTTGGTCACGTGGTACCTGCCGGGGGAAGGGCGGGAGAGAGAGGACGGGGCACAGCCGACGCGAGGCGAACGGATGGGCGCAGACAGCGCAGAGGGAGAGATGATGTGAGGATGGAGGGTTGCGAGGCGTGGAGAGGGAATGGCACGGCGGCACAAAAGAGAAAGGACCTAGCGGAGCGGCAGGGCGATGGGATGGCGCGCGGATGCAAGCACGCAGCGAGGCAGAAAAGGGCGGGAGGGACAGCGGGAACGGGAGCGGGGTGAGATAAAACGCGTGGAAGGGAGGCGGAAGGAAGGAAACGGGGTACCGGAGGGACTGACCCGAAGGAGCCGTAGTAGGCGTGCTCCTGGATGGCCATGAGCTGAATGGCGTTGTAGCCCAGATCACGCACGCGCGGCAGCACGTTGTCGCGGAACTCCGTGTACGTGCTCACTCGCGGCTCCTGTTAGCGCCAGCGCAATAACGCGGATGAGTCAGACATTGAAGTGGCAGAAGGAGAGTCGGCAGGGAGTGCCGAGGAGGCATAGGTTAACCGCGCGAGCAGCGAAGGAGAGGTGGAAATGAAGGGCGGACAGCAGAGGCAGACGGCAGAAAAGAAGAGGCGGAGGAAGGGCTACCGCGGGGAGAGGGGAGAAAGGGACTTACAATGCTGCTCATGCCGACGTGCGCCTCGTAGATACGCAGCGCTCTGGGTCGCTTGGGGCGCGGGTTCTTCCACACGTGGCGCTCCTGCGGTCGCGCGCGCGGGGAACACGGGGACAGCCACGGCGGACGAAAAATCAAGCTCGGCGGGCGACGGTGCGTTGGCGGGCAAATCAGGCGCGGAGGACGAGAAATCCAAGGCGGTGAAAAGCGAGCGAGCATGCAGCGCAGAGTCAGAGCAACAGCGGCATTGAAAAAGACGGCGCGTAATGACTGCAAACATTCGCATAGAGCATGGCGGCGGAGCGTGGCGCGGCGGCGCACCTGCGGAGGCGGGTCGTAGTAGATGCCGTTGTAGGGGATCTCGCCGGGCGCCTGCACGGCGAACTTGATCCACGCGGGGATCGCGTCCTTCCACCCCGACGGCGTGTCCATGTGGATCTGAATGCCACGTCATGCAGAAGATATCCACGTGTCATTACAGGAACATGACGCTAGCTACGGGAGACCAACGGATAGGCAATACTGAGTACAAGCTAGTAAGGCTACTGCACGGCGCATCCCCATCGCAATGCCGTGCACAAGGCGCTGAATGATGAGCTTTCGTTGTTCCCGCCAGCGGTTATCCGTGAGTTGATGCCAACATTCGCTGTAAGATATTTATGGCTCACGCTGTTAACCACATCTGATCCACATGCATCAGTCACAGTCAGATACCATGATGTCAGATACCATGATGTCAGATACCATGATGTCAGATACCATGATGTCAGATACCATGCTGTCAAATACCATGATGTCAGATTCCATGACGTCAGATTCCATGATACCTGGCGCTCGAGCGCGGAGCACAGACTGACCTTGACGCGGGAGCCGTGGGGAATGGCGGGGGTGCCATCGGGGTTGTCGGGCAGGAAGAGCTCCCACACGCCGAACTCGTCCTGCCACACGCCAACGCGCACCCGCACCCACACAAGGCCGACACTAAAGAGCCGTTAAGAAACCCATCAAGGCGAGCCGAAATTGTGTTGAGAGCAGCAGAGTGAGCGGCGGGGACGGACCTTCTTCATGATGTCGGCGTTGGGGTTCCAGTTGTTGAAGTCGCCGATCAGCGACGCCGACTGCACCACCGCACAACCATAACCATGCACACACCGTCGTCAGCATTATTGCGTAATATGAAATACACACCAACCAGGACGCGGAAGCTCGAATCAACTTACATAAGCGCCAGGAGCCCACTCGCGGTACACGATGCCGTTGTGCCTGCGCAGAGGAGGCGTCCACAATGTCGAGTAAGACAAAATGACATCGAATTAAAGCGGTCAATTCGAGGCAGGAAACGGCGAAGCGATGCGCGAGCGCGGGCAGCTTACACTCGGTTGAAGCCGAACTTCTCGTATCCGCGCGAGAACTTCTCCAGTCCGCCCTCGTGCTGGTCGATCTCCCACCGAAGCTTCTTGTACTGCCCGAAGCTGCGCACGGAGAGACAGGCGGCATTGCAGGTGAAATGTAAATGGAAGCGGAAGAAACAGGTGTTCCTTGCGCGATACACGGCGCGCTGCACGGCAGATATAAGAAGCAATAGAAGGAAAAGCACCGCCTTGGCTCAACCAGTTTTACCCGCGGCTGCTCTGGTTATTGGTATTCGAGGTGGATCACGGAGTGCCTATCGGTGACAGTGGAGGTACATGCGGTGCGTACCGGTACTCGAGGTGGATGCGGTGCTGGTTGAGGTACTCGTCGGTTTCGAAGATCTTCTTGCCGTCGCCCGGCGGCGGCACCACCTTGGGCCCCTCCTGCGTGAAAATCATCTGCTCCCGCAGCTTCGCGTTCTCCTCCCGCAGCGCCTGTGCCATGCCAACATAATAGTCATACGAATAAAAAGAACCCACGGTCAGCGCGGCGCTGAAGAGTGAATCCGCTTGCGGAAAAAGGCGTAAGGCAATGGGTGTCCCAAGGTGCAAGTTTGACGGCTAAGATGAATCGGCGGACCTTAATCTGCGCTTCAATGACTTCAGCCTCCGCCTCCAAGTCCCCCACTGCCAGCTCCGCGCCAACGTCCTTCGCGGCCTCTGCGGCCACGCGGAGCCGGCGGCTGCTGTCATCAGTCCATGTCAGCTTCGCCTGACGCCGCGAAGCCCTTTGCCTGAGCTGCAATCGCGGAATCTGACAGATTCTGGCATTGCCTGCAAGGAGGATGGATGGATCTGAGTGAAATTGAGAAAAAAAAGGTGTTTGCAGTTTCAAGCTTCTAAGCCTGCAATGATGAAAGCAAGCGGGTCTCTGTTGGGAGGACACACCTCCAAGGAAGGGGCTCCGGCTTGAGGTGATTTCACGGCCTGATAAAAGCCGAGAAGCAGACGGCGCGGAGACGGTGGTCGTCGCCATGGCTACACAGCTAAAACGCTGGTAGGAATTCAGAATGAATTGCCTGGTGTGTGCTGCTTTACATTGCCTGTCAGCCAGACCGTACCGAAGGCCAGCCAGGGAAAAGGGTGGGTGGGCTGAAAGCGGGATGGGAGGCGGAAAGGGAAAAGGGATGCCAAGGGGCGTTGGGTGGGCGGAGCGGAATTTGGTTGTGGCTGCTGCGCGTTGTAACCCTGCAGCGTTGCGCTTCCACATTCGTGGGGTTGGTCCGCGAACATCCTTCCGACCTGCCGACTCATGTGGCCCAGAACAAGTCCACCGAGTGTTGCCACGTGGGTAACAGGCTAAGCGCCAAGCGACCTCCCGTTTCAATCCCGAAGGGGTTGTGACCTGGCATCAAGCCAAAATAGCCGTGGGAGCGACTCCCTCCCCGTGTTAGCAGCTCAGGGACTGCTGAGTGCTGAAACGCTCCGATTTGGGTGACAAGATGTGAGGCTATCCCACCCTCCACCGCACCCAGCGACCAGTTGGATGAAACACCACTCACCCACTAGTTCTCCCGTTTCCATCTGCCCGAAATATCCAGATCCACAAAAGAGTCTCTCTTGCCTTTCAAAATCTTCAGAAGGGGTGAAAAAGTACGAAGAAAAGGGCTTGTACCAATGCGATCGTGACATCAAGGCACGAGAACATGCCAGGCTGGCCGTTCCAGTCCGGCCCCTTAAAGCTTCTTATTTAGTAAGTGTTTCGTTAAGAGAACGGTATATACAGTAAAGATTGTTGGACATCCTAATCCTATCATGGGTTCCACATTCGTTTTATATAAAGCGATTTCAAGCCACCTGCTTCCTTCGAGAAGCGGTGTAGCAGGCCAATCATCAAGGCCAACGATCTTCCACCTACTCCCCACGCACGTGACTTTTCGTTTCGCCGTTTCACGTAACACCCACCTCCTTGTGTTACGGATCGCGCCGCTCCCCCTACTGCACCGCATTCCCCGGGAACTCACCCACCCACACACACAGGGCGGGCAAGTACACAGGAATTGCTGATGAACACTTCTCCTTATCAAGCACTTGCAATGCAAATCACTGCTTCGCATTGCAGCAACTGCCTTCACAAAGTGTATTTTAGGGTTTTCTTGCCACGACCTCACTCGCACAGCACTTGCCAAACGGAAGTTGTAAATGTTGTCACTAGAGTGAGATACTCCGCAGTGTTTCCTAGTGCCCTAATTGCCGTACTCCTAGTTACGTCTCATCTGTTTCGTTTCACGACAAACCCTCGATTCGACATAGCTTGGGAACTTCGATCATCAATAGCAGTGTTGCAACTCCATGGCTGTTTCGCCGTTGGGGATGATTGTACAAAGCCGTTTATTTATACGCAGTGGGTAGGTTAGAGTTTGTATTTGGCACGTAATTTTCTTGGGAAGCGATGGACCGGTCAGTGTTGGATCGCCCCGCGATAGATCGTCGGATGATGCTTCTCAGCCGAAGCCGCCGCGAGCAGGACGGAGATTCAGATTCTGAGGAGGCTTACTCAGTCGGAAGAGATGACGTGGATCGTTCTGATTCGCTCAGCCGAGCCTTCGCTCAGGTCAGACACCAGCAGGCTGCTAGCGTGTCAGTTGCTTACACATTTGACCTGCTTCGGGACGTTTCGTCAAAGTACCTTGAACGTACTGCTTGTGAAGTCTTTGAAACAATAGAATGTTTGTCCTTCATCGTAAGGCATCCTCCCGGTCTGCCTTTTCCTTGCGGTGCCAGCAAACAAACGTACGCGATTACCGAGGGGGAGGAGGGGACTCGCGGCAAGTGCGGGAGGAGGAGGAGGAGGACGAGGACGAGGAGGAGTACACTGTGGAAGTGTGGGACGCGCTTGACTCGCTAGAGCAGGTAACGGGGTGGGTTAAGGGAGAAGCATGGATATGCGAGTAGCAGGAGGGCGAGGTCATACGTGAAGATGAGAGAATGGGGTAGTGGCACAAGCAAGGGGCTGAAGCCGCGGTGTGCCTCTCTGCGGTCAGCTCGTGCCGCCGCCATACGTGCTCACCCACGCTCGCTGCCTCACCCTCGTCCTCCCTTCCTTCTTCTCCCTCTTTTCACTGTCCGTCCTTCCCGTCTCTCTCCTCCCTTCCCTTTCCGTGCTTTTCCCGCCGTCGTCGTCCCCCACGGCGCCCCCATGCGCGCGGGCGGCAGCTGAAGCCCATAATCGCGTCGGGCCCGCGGTGGAAGCTGGAAGAGTTTCTACGAGCCATCGACATCCTCCAGGTGCGCTCGCACGCGCCCACGCTGCCACACGCACGCTCGCAGGCTGCTTCACGCTTGCAGTTTGCTATAGGCACGCTCTCATGCAATGCCTTGTGTGGTTCGGTGGCCATACTCGCCATAACCCGTCATGCTCTGCTCCCTCGCCCCCATCCTCCTCCTTCTGCTCCCCCACTTCCCCCGCGGGCGGCGCGCAGGAGATGGCGGAGTTCTTCGAGCGCAACGAGTGCGCGTCGGGCGTGCGCGAGTGCGAGAAGTACATGGCCGTCGCCATGGACCACCTCGTCGACGAGTTCCGCGACGCGCTCGTCAAAATCAGGTGCGCGCGCGCGCGCGTGTATGCTTGCATCTGGGCGAGTGAGATTACGACGGGGTGAGACAGCGGGCTCACATGAATAAATGATGCGGGGTCGTGGAGTGGAGCAAGTGTGCAACGTGTTTGAGCTGGTGAGGAACGCCTCACGTCGCGATTCCACGCTTTTTCCACGCTCCTTGCAAAAGCCTTATCCCGCGACCTTCTCGTGCTCACCAGCCATACCTCAACACCACCCGGCTTCTCTGAACCTCCGCTGCCACCCCTTTCCCCATTACCCTCCCTTTTCCTCCTTTTCCCCGCCTTCCACCTCACGCCCCCTCCCTCCACCCCCACTTCCCTCCCTCCTTCCCTCCCCCATCCCCGCCCACGGCGCTCTCGTTGCTTGGCGCGCAGCAAGCCGTTGCCAGCAGCCATGCTGCGCGAGGTGGCCATGTCAGCGCACGCGGGCCGCCTCGTCGACCAGCACCAGGGCGGCGCCGCGGCCGCCGCCGCCGCCGTGCTGGCGGGCGCGGGTGGCGCGGGCGTGCCGCGCACGTCCACGGGGTCGTCGTCCGTGTCGTCGCACCTGCCCACGTCTCGCTCGCGCACGGCCAACACCACCTCGTCGCCCGACTCGTCAGGGTCGTCGTCCCCTGTGGGCGGCGGGGGGTCCGCCATGGCGCATGCGGTGTCGGCCGCCACGCACCTGGCGCTGCAGGACTGGCTGTCCGCGAGCGCCGTGCCCTTCCTGCACCGCATGGCCGTCAAGCTCGCGCAGGGGGGCGAGTCCCAGCGCTGCATGCAGCAATACGTGTGAGTGGCGTGCGCAGCACTGGCAGGAGATGTGTTCTGTTACCTGTCACTTCCGCTTTCATCAACCCCCCTCTCTGTTCCTCCTTGGACTTTTCTCTGTTCGCTTCCCTCCCTCGTCCTTACCCGCCGCTCTTCTACCTCCATTCCCCGCCTCCACTCTCCCCTCTCCATCTCCCCTCCTCCCCCCCCACCCACACAATGACCACGGGCAGCAAGGTGCGGGCGGAGGCCATTCAGCGGAGTGTAGATGCGCTGGACATCAAGAGAGTGCTGACGACATCACTGGAGGAGATGACGTGGCAGCAGCTGGAGGCGCTGATGAAGGGATGGGTCACGGACATGCGAGCCATGGTGGGTCACGGGCATGCGAGCCATGGTGGTCCTGCTTGGACCTTGGACTTGCTTTGCGCGTGGGGCCGTGGCTTAGGCTGGGTTCAGGGTTGGTGTTGGGTTGATGCAGTTGGTGGCTTGGAGGGGAAAGGGTTACGTGTGTGCCACCGGTGCTGGTGTTCCAGCCATGTGCGCTGCATGGTGCCGGTGCCGTTCCCTTCCTCTCACTCGCCCCTACCTCTCCTCGCTGCCATGCGTGCCACTGCCCCCTGCAGGTGCTGGTGCTGCTGGGCAGTGAGCGCGTGCTGTGTGACGAGATCTTTGACTCACTCGAGCCCGACAGAGAGCTCTGCTACCTCTCCCTCATCCAGGTACATTCTGCTCCCCCCCACCTCAGTCTCTTCCCAGCTCGGTTCCTGATTTTCTCCCCACCACCCCCATTCTTCTCATACCTTTTCCTCCCTGTCTCCTTCCCTTTCAACCCGCCCTCCTCCCCTCGTCCGTGTTCCTCCCCCCCCCATCTTGCGGGCAGGCGAGTGGGTTGGCGGCGACGGTGGAGGCGGTGGTGAGCAACGGGCGGGTGGTGGCGTCGGGGCGCAACACACCGGAGCGCCTCTTTGCGCTGCTCGACATGTTCACCACTGGCCGCGAGCTGCGCGCGCAGGTCAGGGGGGTGGGGGGGGGGAATGTGATATGGGGGGGAACGGGTGAGAGGAGAGGGGTGTGAGAGCAAGGCCGCAGGTGGAGGGAGGAGGGTGCAGATGGAGAGAGGGGGCTGGAGCTGCAAGCCTGTCTCTCGCCCCTGTGCCTTCCGTCAAGCCTTCCAAGCCCCTTTCCTCCCTCCCCGTCTCTCCCATCCATCCCTTCCCACGGGGCCCATGCTTTGTGGGGAGCGTCAGATCGAGGCGGTGGTGTCGGTGCCGGGGTTTGGCAGTGTGCTGCGGGAGATGGAGCGCCTGCCGCGCGACCTGGCGGGCGCAGTGATGGACACCATCGGCGAGTTCAAACGCGTGCTCGAGGAGCCGCCCGCCCACCACCAGGCGCACTCCCAGGACAAGAAGAAAGGGTGAGCGGGGCAACTGGGGGGTGGAAGGGGGGCTGGATGGGACGGGCATGGGGCTGCGACTGCATATGTGACTGCATGGGCTGTGGCACGTTCTTCTGTAACGTGTAAATTCACCTGCTGCACCCATCCAGTGTCCGCCCTCTCTGTGCGTTACTTGGCCTTGCCAGTGCTTCTCTCCTCGCTCTGCCCATTCCATCTCCCCCATCCACTCCCTTGAAACCCGTCTCACAACCACTCCCGTGAGCACCGTCTCACCGTTGAACCCATTGGTCCATGTGCGCTGTGGTGCATGGCAGCATGCTGAAGCCATTCCTGCGCAGTGCGAGTGCGAGTGGGGCGGGGGAGACAGGGCCGGTGGAGGAGGTGGAGGTGGCCACAGCAGCCACGCACCCGCTCACCTCCTACGTCGTCAACTACATGAACAACCTCCTCGATAAGTGCGTGCCCGCCCTTCCCTGCTCTCGTGTCCCATGTCCATGTGTTAGGCATACAACACACTAGGTTGTGGAATCGAGCATTTGGTGATGAGCGATTTGGCATGTGAGAATGAATAGATGGATCATGGATGCCATGGATGGTTGCACTGACGGCACTGGAGGTGGAATGGAACCCATGTGTGTGGTGTGGCGGTGAGCAGGCAGAGCAAGCGCAACTACCCGGTGACGTTGGAGTATCTGCTGCTGGAGTACGGGCGCAGCATCACGGCCACGGGCGCCGACGCCACGGCAGCGGCGCTCATCACGCGCAGCGGGCCGCAGTACAAGACGCCCTTCAGTGGCGCCGCTGTGGAGCGCCGGTCGGGCGCGGTGGGGCCCGCAGCGCTGGGGCAGCGCGCGGCAACCCTGGCGGGCGTGGTGTCATCGGTGCTGGAGTCGCTGCTGCGCTGCCTGGAGAGCCGCGCCAAGGCCGCCTCCGACCCCACCCAGGGCGCGCTCTTCCTGCTCAACAACGCCCTCTACATCTCCAAAAACCTGTCAGCCCCGTGCCCCTTCCATCCTGTCACTGCCGTACGTGGCACTCGTGCCACCCTGTGGTTCCCTTCCCTGTGTAGAATTGCACCACAAGCAGCATTCTATGCTGCCTTGATACCTCTGCGTGCTGCCATGTGTGTGCCCATGTGCATGTGGCTCCCCGTCTACCTGTGCACCCCACTCCCATGTGCCCATTTGTCCACGCCCTCATGTGTCCCCCACAACCATGCACCCTTTCACGCATCCATGCAACCATGCATTACAACCATGCAACTATACCTAACTCACCCATGCGTGTCGTGTGTGGGTGAGGCAGGTCGGACGGCAAGCTGTCAGCGGTGGCGGATCTACCGGACTGGAAGGACGGGCAGATGCTGGACAAGTACATGATCCACTTCCGTGACGCCGTGCTCGCCCGGGTGACTCCCGCCTGCCCTGCCTTCCTTGCATTGCCATGCCGTGCTATGCCTTAATGCACTTCATTTGATCGCAGGAAGGCTGTGGCATATGTGCATGAACCATGTCTGCACGGCAGTATGCAGTGTGCTCATTCCTCCTTCAGCATTTCCGTTTTTCTTTGATTGATTGTACACCCGCCATGGCTACTGTCTGAATGCCATGCCATTTTCTTCCCGCACCCCCCTCTCACCCCTCCACCACTTTCACCCCTCCTCCGCCGCGCTACGCTGTCCCCAACGCCGTGATGGCCGTGGGCGGGGCAGATATCGCATGCACTGGAGGAGACAGCGGTGCAGGGCGGGCTGCTCAAGTCTGTGAACGAGCACACGGAGGTCAAGGCCAAGTGAGTCGTGCGGGGCTTGCCTTTCTGGAGGGGTGGGTGGGCGCCACGTGAGGCAAATGAGCGAATGAGAGCACACGGAGGAAGGCAAGTGAGGGCGTGGAGGGAGGACCTCGTCATAGAGGGGTTGTTGTCCGAACGTGTGCCTCTGCCCTCCCCTCGTGCCGTCCCTGCAGCTTTCTCCCTCTCTTCATCCGTGCCCCTCCTTCCCCTTGCTGCCCGTCGTACCCCTGCTTGTGTGCATGTGTGCATGTGTGCATGTGTGTGCATGTGTGTGCATGTGTGTGCATGTGTGTGCATGTGCATGTGCATGTGTGTGCATGTGTGTGCATGTGCATGCATGAGTGTGTGCATATGTGTGCATGTGCATGCATGGGCATGTGTGTGCATGTGTGTGCATGTGCATGCATGGGCATGTGTGTGCATGTGTGTGCATGTGTGTGCATGTGCATGCATGGGCATGTGTGTGCATGTGTGTGCATGTGTGTGCATGTGCATGCATGGGTGTGTGCATGCATGGGTGTGTGCATGTGCATGCATGGGTGTGTGCATGTGCATGCATGGGTGTGTGCACGCGTGGCGTCAGGCTGAAGAAGTTCAATGCGGCTTTTGAGGAGCTGGCGATAAAGCAGGCGGGGTGGAACATTCCCGATGAGGACCGTCGCAAGAAGACCCGCAGCAGCGTTGCTCGCCGCCTGCGAGAAATCTACTCCGCCTTCCTGCTGCCCTACAGGTGCCTTCCTGCTGCCCTACAGGTGCCCTACCATGCCCATGCCTTCCTGCTGCCCTATGGATGAGGTCGTGATAGTAACTTACAACTTACAGAGTGCATCCCATCCCTGTCTGCCTGCTCTCTCATGCAACCCCGTTCTCTCGCTGCTCACTTATCTCTGTGCATATGTGCCCGTGTCATTGTCCCCGCATGTGTATGTGCATGTGCATGCATACATGTACATTGGGGTTCACAGGGAGGAGCTGTGTGAGTTCAAGACGTACCGCTATTCACCGGACGCCATAGAGCGAGTGGTGCTCGACTACTTCTTCCTCGCCACTCCCTCCAGAGGCCTCCCCATCTCCTTCGGCTAGCCACGCCTCCCCATCTCCCTCAGATAGCCACGCCTCCTCATTTCCCTCAGATAGCCACATCTCTCATCTCCTCCTCATCTCGCCCTCAGATTGTCACAGCAGCTTGCCCACTCTCTCGCCCTGCACAGCCTCTCCCTGTGTGCCCCCCACTGGAACGGGCAATAAAGCTGTTGACAGCTTCCAGTCCACATGACTGTGCGCCTCCCCACCCACAGCAGCAAGAAACAATGCAGGCAGTCAGTAGCACCAGTAGCAGCACCATTACCAGCAGCAGCAGAGTAGCAGAAGCAGCAGCAAGCATGACATCCTTCATGCGACACATGCACAGCAGTCAGCCAGGAGCGGCGAGAGTAGCAAGGATGATGTGTAGGGACAGTTACAGCCTTAGCGCATTCTTCCTGCCACTGCAGCCCTCAGCACCTAGTCGTGTTGATGCTGCACAGAAATACTTGCTAGTGAAGTCACTTGTAGTCTGTGAATTGTTAGTTACTGTACGATATCTAAGCTGGCAGCTAATGATTAACTATTTTGAAGCCCAATGATTCTTGCTTCACTAGATGTCAGGCTATTGGTTAAGGGGATTGCCAAACCAAATTCAACATACGGTACATAAACATGCCACTCAGGGCCTCAGACTCGTTTGAGGGTACCCTGAGGACTCAGGGAAGTTCTTTAGAAAACCTGATTTTGTCCTGAAATGTCAGGACTGCACTAGGAAAGGTATGCTGTACTGCCAGTGCTATGTGTGACAGTATCCTGCCACGTTAAAAGGACACCCTTGTGTTGGGCATGTCCCTGCACTGCAGTTGATGCCTGCTACCTCTCCCTCTTCCCCCTACCCTTGCCCCTTCTATAGCCCTTCTCCCCTCCTCTCTTGTCCCCCCGCCCCTCCCTTTTCTCCCCCCTGCCCTCCCGCCTGCCCCCCCCCACCAGCTCTGCTGCTTTCTCTGACAGCCGCCGCCGCCGCCTGCCCCGCCCCGATGGCCCGCGCCCCTCTGCATGTGCCACAGTTGAGGGAGGGGGGGGGGGGGGGGAAGGAGGGGAGGTGAGATTGTGGAGGAAGGTGGGGCGGGGGGAGAGGGAAGAGAGCACAAGGAGGTGAGCGAGAACAGATTGCACGAGGAAAACGTACAGGTGACTGTTCATGGGAAGTGTAATGCCTGTGTGGTGTTGCTGATATGAGTGAGGGGTTGCGATTGAAGTGATTACCTGTACTCACATTGAAGAGCCGCTTTACCTCAGGCGAGGCTCACCTGAGTCACTGTCGGCGCCAGCCCCTCCACTGCCCTGCCCCTCCCCCTCCTCCCCCTCCCAACCACTCTCCTCCCCACTCTCGCCCTCCCTGCTCCGCGCCCTGCCCCCACCCTCCTGCTCCTCCTCTGCATCCACCGCTGCACCATTGCCAGCGGGGGCAGCGGCAGCAGTGGGCGGAGGGGGGGTGGGGAGGGGGTGGGTGGGGAGGAAGAGCAGGGCGTCAGAGGAGTCATCGGAGTCGCTGTAAGCCGCCACGCGCTCCACCGTCTCTATGTCCACCTCCTCCCACCCACCGCCCTCCTCCCCCGCGCCATGGCGTGCGGGCGGGCCGAGCGCGGGGTCGGGCCAGGCGTCGAACTCGTCTTCGCGCTCCGCGTACTCCTCGTTCTCCTCCAGCTCTCGGAAGTCAGGCGCGAACGCGCTCCAGCTCTCGCGGTAGTCCTGCGCCCACAGGTAGATGCTGCCGCTGCCCGCCAGCGACGCGATCACCTTGCGCGTGGGGTGCCACAGCAGGTCCGCCAGCGCCTCCTTGGGCCCCTCGAGGATGCGCACGAGCTGGCCGAAGGCGCGGTTCCAGATGTGGATCTTGTGCTCGCCACGCGCCGCCACGCCACCCACCACGAACTCGCCGTCGCCGCTGAAGCACGCGCTGCGCCACTGCACGCGGTTCACCGCGTCCTGGTACTCCTTCACGAACGCCAGTGACACCAGCGCGCGCCGCTTGCCCCGTGGCACCACCTCGTCTGCACTCGGCCACCCCCCGCCCTGCTTGCTGCCCCCTGCTCGCCCGCCCCCGCGCTCACTGCGCTCTGACTCCCCTGCTCCGCTCTCGCCTCTCTCCCCGTTCTGCTTCGCCCCCCTGGTCTCCCCGCCAGTGCCGCTCCCCTCGGCGCCCTCCAGGGCAGTGGTGGCGAGGGAGAAGACGCGCAGCACGCGGTCCGTGCAGTTGGTGAGCAGGAAGCGGCCGTCGCGACTCAGCGCCAGCTGGCGGATGCACGCCGCCGGCCACCCCGTGCTGCCGCTGCTGCTGCCCGCGGGGGAGGGCACGCCGGGGATGGCGGCGAGGAGGGCAGCGGCGGGCACGGAGGCGACGAGGATGTGGCCCGAGGGCGCGCCCACCACCGCCAGGCTGCCGCTCCTGTCAAACACCGCCGGCCATGGCAGGCTCCCCGCCCCCGCCTCCCCGCCCCCGCCCCTCCCCCCTTTCCCTGCCCCGCCCCCCGCGCTATCTGTCTGGGGCGAGGTGGGGAGTGGTCGGAGTTTTCCGGAGGGGAGGTGGAGGAGGGCGGGGGGGGCGCCCATGGGGCAGACGAGCGCGAGGGAGGGGGAGGGGGAGGGGTGCAGGCGCACGTGGAGGGCGGGCTTAGGGAGCGGCACGGAGGTCACGGGGGAGCCCGCCGCCACGTCCCACAGCACCACGCGGTGGGGCGACGGCGGCGCATGCGGCTGCGCGGGGGAGTGCGCGTGCGCGTGGGCGGAGGGGCCCGCGGGCGTGTAGGCGGCGAGCAGCAGGCGGCCGCATTTGGACCATGCGACGCTCGTGACCAGCGACGGGGGAGGAGGGGGAACGGCGGAAGGCGTGGCGGATGGAGAGTCCGCCGTGGCGGGTGAGGGGGTCTCATGGAGGGGCGGAGGGAGCAGCGGGGGGAGCGGCAGCTCCTTGGCCACTCCGCGCGTGTCGAAGTCCCAGATGACGCACACGCCGTCCGCGCACCCCGCTGATGTGGGGGAGGCGGGGGCGATGCGCAAACGTAAGGGGAAGGGAAAGGGAAGGGGGTGTAAGGGGAAGGGGAGGTGGCCAAGGGCGGGAGATTGATGCGGACTTGAGGCGGGGAAAAATGAGGAGGAGGGAGGGCGCGCACGGGACTGGCCATGCTGGCGGTGTGGGGCCGCGCATGCAGCGCCACGGCGTACCTGCGAGCAGCGTGCCGCGGCGGTTGAAGGCGATGCACTTGGCGGCGCGGTGGTCCAGATACTCCTCGATCACTTCGGGGAAGTCGTTCTGAAACGGATCTGCCTCGAAGCGCGCGCGCCGCGGTTAGTGCGTTGCGACATGCCAAGCAACGGGAAAGACGGGAGCATTGGGACTGAGGCTGAGCCCGGGAGGGCGGCGCACGCACGAGGAGCGGGCGAGAAGGAGGAGAGGGAGACACGGGGAAGCGAGCGGAGCTGACCTAGCAGGCTGAGATTCATCGCGACGCTCGAGCAATGGCCGTACGTTCCGGCAATCGACGAACGCGGCACGTGTGACGAGATGATCGGCGTCCAAGAAAGCTGCTTTGGGGTTGGGCTTACGGAGAGGAATTTTAGACTCGTTCTTTCGAATTTCTATGAGGTGAAATGAGTGGTTCGAGTTTTCAAATTTACGGCATGCTTTCGACGCAACATCGAGGTTGGATATATCGGAAACAGGTCAACCAATTGCGTACGTTTCCCCGTGCCTTGGGTTTGCCCCAGGCGCCCCACGTCCAGCCCCCCTGCGACGATTGCAGTCGCCAGCCACGACTGGCTGAGAGCCATCCCGCCTTTTCACGTCGCATCCGCTTCGTCCACATTTCGCTTCCCCCTGCGACGCACACAACGTCGCCTACTGGCCTCGCCCAGCTACCCCTGCGGCCCTGCCCTCACCTCAAACCCTCACAGCACCATTCAAGTCGTCTTCACTCACCACCATCGTACCGTTTCCTAGCCTAGTTCTATGCTCACCGCTTCTCTTGCTACTACTGCTACCACTGTAGCCTTTTATTTAGTTTGCAAGATACCTGCTTTTAGGGTTTCATCGAACGTATAGCGGCGCGTGGCATGCGTGACGTGTGAGCGCGCGGTGGAGGAGAGGCGCGGGCCGGCATGGGCTGCTTCCTGTCCGTCGAGGTCGAGGCGCCAACAGCGCCGTCGTCCAAGCCCGCAGGTCAGCGCCAATGCTTCCTCGTAGCGCTGCGTATCGCACGCGGTCGTTTCTAACGACGCCCGTGCCACTCGCGATGCAGTGTTTGTTGCCGCTCTTACCGCTCCCGACACCGTATCACCGTTCTTCACCGCCCCCCTTGCCGTCCCATGTGCAGAGGGCAGCCAATCCACATCATCTGGGGCTCCTAGGTCTATGAAAAGCGGCGGCTCGAGCGCGGCGTTATCCAAATTAAAGAGCTCCACATCAGGGCTAGGGGCGGACCCAGGTGGGGGAACAGGGCCGCCGCCAGCGCGGCGGCTGAAGCTGAAGGAGTTTCTAACGATTACCAACAACTTCGACGAGAACGGCGTTCTAGGGGAGGGCAGCTTCGGCAAGGTGTACCGCGGCGTGTGGGAGGAGGCGCCGGCGGGGCGAGGCGGGGGGGGCGAGGTGGTGCGCACGCAGGTGGCGGTGAAGAAGCTCAACCCGGAGAGCTTCCAGGGCTACGAGGAGTGGCTGGTGCGCGCAACCCACCCACCCCCCCCTCGCGCGCACCCCCGTCCTCCCTGCTTTGTCGCGCACGCTCTGCCTCGTTGCTATGCCCTTCACTCCCCGCTCTCGTTTTTGCCACGCGACTGCATGGTCGTGTGTGTCGTGTCGTAACCAGTCTGTGCGCGCTTGACTGACGCGCGCGCATTGCGTATGGGGGGCGGGGGTGGGCGGGCGGCAGGCGGAGGTGCTGCTACTGGACAAGCTGCGGCACCCGAACCTGGTGCGGCTGGTGGGGTACTGCGCGGAGAAGGGCGAGGCGCTGCTCATGTACGAGCTCTGCCCCAACGGCTCGCTCGACGACGTCCTCTTCGAACGTACGCGCCTTCCGCCTCCCCCGCCTTGTCCTGCCATCGCGCCGTCCTGCTATTTCCCCGTCGTCGCCGTCGGCGCGTGCTGCAAGGCAATCCCTCTTAAGTTCATTTTCTCGCATTCTCGGCGTGGCGTGCGTGTGGTGGGCGTGCTGTGTGTCTGGTTGCGCGTGGGCGTGGGCGCGTGTGTTGCACATGGGCGCGTGTGTTGCACATGGCGCGTGTGTTGCACATGGGCGCGTGTGTTGCACATGGGCGCGTGCGGTTGCGTGTGGGTGTGGGTGCGCGTGTGGTTGAACATGTGTGCGGGTGCGCGTGTGTGTGCGCGTGTGCTGGTGAGCAGCGGAGGAGTACGTGTTGTCGTGGGAGCAGCGCGTGCGCATAGCGCTGGACGCGGCGAAGGGGTTGGCGTATCTGCACGAGAGCAACATCATCCACCGCGACTTCAAGGCCTCCAACATCCTGCTCGCCGAGGTCAGTCCTGCTCGCCCAGGTCAGTGCAACATCCTGCTCGCCGAGGTCAGTCCTGCTCGCCGAGGTCAGTGCAACATCCTGCTCGCCGAGGTACCACCCAATCACGGTCACGGGCTGTGAGGGGCTGTGAGGGGCTGTGAGGGGCTGTGAGGGGCTGTGAGGGGCTGTGAGGGGCTGTGAGGGGCTGTGAGGGGCTGTGAGGGGCTGTGAGGGCGCAGGTCCGTGCAGCATCCTCCCCTCCTCGCCGAGGGCAGTGCGTAGCTCGTCGCTCCACTGCGCTGAACGGCTGAGCGCGTTGCTTCACACACGGCGATTGGGACGCGCCTTTTGATTCTCTTACCCGCGCCCACTGCTCCACAGCTGCCCTGCTGCTGCTGAGCCCGCCCCCGCGCCCCCCATGCCGCCGCATCGCATTCATCAATGCTTCCCCCTTGACCCCGCCACGTGGCTGCCACACGCGGCACATGGGTGGCACGCGCGGCCACGGGTGTGCGGTGGATGGCAGGACTACTCGGCGCGGCTGACGGACTTTGGCATGGCGCGGGCGGGGCCGGACGGGGGGGAGACGCACATCTCGACGCGAGTCATGGGCACGCTGGGCTACCTCGACCCCACCTACATGGAAACCGGTACCTTACCCTCCCCATTCCTCCCCTTCCCCCTCCAACCTTGCCACCCTCCCTGCTTGCTACGCCCCTTGCACCTTCCTGCTTGCGTCACTTGCTTCCTCCGTCCTCCCCTCCTGCTTCCTCGCCCCACTCTCTGCTCGTCCCCACCGCTGTTCTTTCCCCGCCCCTCTTCTTCCATCCTCTCATCCCTTCCTCTTCCTATGCCCTTCTGCTTCCCTGTTCTTACCCACTCGCTCACTTTCCCGCCCTCCGGCCTCGTTTCTGCGTCTTCATCTTATGTCTGCCTTGCTCCCTCAACAAGCACCCCCCACTCCCTCCACATGCACCCCACACCCTCCACATGCACCCCACACTCCCTCCACATGCACCCCACACTCCCTCCACATGCACCCCACACTCCCTCCACATGCACCCCACACTCCCTCCACGTGCACCCCACACTCCCTCCACGTGCACCTCACACTCCCTCCACATGCACCCCACACTCCCTCCACATGCACCCCACACTCCCTCCACATGCACCCCACACTCCCTCCACATGCACCCCACACTCCCTCCACGTGCACCCCACACTCCCTCCACATGCACCCCACACTCCCTCCACATGCACCCCACACTCCCTCCACGTGCACCCCACACCCCACTGTGCATGGTCTGGCTCTGGAGTGCGCTCACCCCGGCATGCCCCTGTGCGGTCCCCTTCCCCCCTGTGTGCGCACGAGTGCAGGGCGGCTGACAAAGAAGAGTGACGTGTATGCGTTTGGAGTGCTGCTGCTGGAGCTGCTGACAGGGCGGCGCACAACAGGCGAGAGCGGCAACGACAGCCTGACCACGTGGATCCGGCCGTTCCTGTCGCAGCGGCGGCCGGACCTGAACCTGCTGGTGGACCCGCAGCTGAAGGGCGAGTTCAGCAAGGCGGGCGCGGTGAAGATGGCGATCCTGGGCAAGCACTGCATCCACGACGACCCCGGGCTGCGCCCCGACATGACCACGCTCGCTGAGAACCTCGAGCTCGTTGACATCAAGGACCCCGCGCCGCCGCCCCAGGCTGGATGAGGCGTCGGGTGAGGGGGGAGAGCCGCTGGCAGGCCTGTGTGGCATCAGTGTGGGAAGCGTTATTGTTTTGTTGTGCACCGATGCTGTACGGTAGTGTAGATGTATTTATAGTGGTGCGTGCGCGCCTGGGCCTGCACAGTTGTGTACCGTAGTTTTGTTAGAGAATAAGAGATAGGTCGTATAGGGTACCTGTCTTTACTGGTATTAGGGGATGTACCCAACCGCCGCTTTTTGTGCCACAACCCTGATTTCTCGAGTCGCGCCGCTTGCATGTACCCAACCCCGTGTCATTTGCGATGATCGATGATGCTCGCAACCCTCCCACGCCCTTACTGGCTTGGCAATGGGCACAGACAAATGCAGCCGCGTGGCCCGGCGGAAGAAAAACGCTCGGAAGTGTCAGAATGTGATGGTTGTCTAGCCTGCAGTGGGGTACTTTATAGCGAGTACAACTCGAATTAGGGTTTCTTATATGTACTTAACTGCTTGCTGGTAGTGAAATTCCTCTTTGCCTATTTCTCGTTTTCGCCTAGCCTGTTTAACATGCTATCAGAGCAGGTCGACCCTCCTGGGTCGATCCTGTGGGTGGTCCCACCAGAAGCTTCCGCTGTTGTTTCCTGCTGTTTCCTGCCTGCCGCGCGTTCCGGGCGTGCGGCGATTTTTCTTCCCGCCGCGCGCTCGGGGCGCGCGGCGGTTTTCTCCCCCGTCGACGGTCGCGTCGCCCCCCGCCGGAGCCCGTCGCGTCGCCCCGCGACCCGCGCGTCGCCCCCCGTCGCCCGACGCGGCCCGCGCGACCTGCGCCAGGCCCGCGCGCGGCCCGTACGGGCTGCGCCAGGCCCGCGCGCGGCCCGTACAGCCCGCGCGCGGCCCGTACGGCCTGCGCCAGGCCCGCGCGCGGCCCGTACGGGCTGCGCCAGGCCCGCGCGCGGCCCGGGCAGCCCGCGCGCGGTTCGTCCGGCCTGCGCCAGGCCCGTGCGCGCCCCGGGCAGCCTGTCCCAGTGCCGCATGCCGTCCCCCGAGCTTTTGACGGCGCCCCACCCCTGCTGCTGCCCGCGTTCCTGTGTTAGGGTTTGGGGGTGGAGAGTATGGGGGTGCCGTGTGTGTGAGCCGTCCCCTGCTCCTCCTCCTCCTCCTCCGTCTCCCACTGCTGCAGCTACCGCTGAGGGGGGTGGATGTGTTGGAGCCGTCGGAGTGGTACGAGGGGGGTGGCGTGTGAGCGGTGCTAGTGGTTCAACAGGGAGTGTGTGAACGGGGTGTGGGACAGTTGGGGGAGGTTGACCGGAGGTA